GAGCTAAGTACCAGCACCTGGAAGATGTGTATTCTGCTTACTCCTATAAGCGGGAAGAAAAACCTATCATATGTCGCTGGGACCAGGTTGAGCTAGCGAGACTGCGGTCGGACCATCATTGGAGTTTAAGATGGTATAAGAACTTTGTAAATGAAGAGCCCAATGGAGCCGAAAAAGAGCCTCACTCTCGCTCGAAGATTTCTTTGTGGAGTCCGCCAGGCCCTTTAAGGAAAAAAAATAATCATCATCATCATCATCATCATCATCATCATCATCATCATCATCATCATCATCATCATCATCATCATTAACATTATCGTCTTCGGTGTAGGGTCATTCGCATGACCCAAATTAATGCGTTTCCACAGGGCAGAAGTTACGGTTAGTACAAATAAGCCAGTGTGTTATTAGCAGGAGAGGAAACTAAATGTAAAACTAGTCGTGTGTGACCTGACTCTAACTTCGAGGAAAATGACAGTACAGGCTGTGACTTTCTCCATCGTTTTCTCAGTCCACGTCGAGCAAACGCGTGTGGCATTTGCGAGTACGCTTAGGGGCCACGTCGACGACAGCACGTGTGACGTTTTACCAACTGTTGCTCTCGCCTCGCCACTTACACAGGCTAGCGTCGCATCGACCGTCGTTTTTTTTATGTGGCTTGTAAAAGGGACGATCTCGTCAGGTCTACAAGTTGACAGATCGGAGAGGGAGAAAAAAAAAAATACAAGTTGACAGATCGGAGAGGGAGAAAAAAAACAACAACCCAGAACGGTCAAACATTTCTCTAACATGTGAGTGCGAGCTTGGAGAAATGCCTCACAATGTTGCGTTCTCTTTTATATATAGAAATGGGTAGTAGGCACTAACTGTTTGTATAATGAATACGGAGACTTGTTTTAACAAACGGAGACTTGTTTTAACAAACAGAATCTGCACAACATCCTATATCATTAGTGGCTTATCTAATTTTGTGTTTTAATAGATGCTTTAACATGTCCACTAATACCTCAGTAATGAGAAACCAAGTTACATTTTTGAGAGATTACCTTTGTAAGACCATAAGTCATAAGATTGATTACTTAACTTAAGGGGGGGGGGGGTAAGTGTTTTACGGCGCTCACAAACTGCATACGGCCAAATGAGCGCCTGAGACATTAAACATTTTCAGTTGGTAGGAAATTTTGAATGTTGCCCTGGTGGCGGCGAAGCTTACTCTTGTCGATTTTAGACCACCAAGGGATCTTTAACGTGCGCAACTTGCACACGGGACCTCCGAGATTTTTTGCCCTTGTCCGAGAAGAAGGCTAGGTGTAGATCTTTCCTACCATAAGATGAGGGGTGCGGCTGAAAGACAACAGCAAGAAGGAGCCAAGGAGTAGCAGTGGAAAAACTGCAGAAAGAGTCAAGAGCCCAGAGGAGGGGACAAAGGAGGTGACTGGGGGGGGGCAAAAAGTGGAGACGAAAGCAGACGACAGATCATTGCTAGAGAGCAGGAAAGGAGGTGAACGGGGACAATTTTAGAGATGAATTTTTTTCTGCGTCGCTATCCGGATTCGAACCTGGGACCTTTGAATGAGAGGCGAACACCTCTAGGCCACCATCGACAGCCCCCGATTTCACGATAACAGGTTCAATTTTCCCAGGCCTTATGTGAAGTAAATAGAAAACACTCAACGTGACAAAAGGCTTACTCCCCCCCCCCCTTCCCCACACCCAAGAGTAATTGCTTTTTCTATCCTCTATCATAGTTATTGCGTGCTTGCAAATAAACATGGCAACTTATCAAGACTCCCAATCGAGCGATAGATCAGTCTCAGTAGAGTTTGTTTTGTCTTTTTCGAGTATTTAGGGTTTGGCTATCAATTAATTGGAGTGACTGCATGAAATAATCATGCATATATCTTGATCTATGTGTGTGTATGTGTGTGTATGTGTGAGTGTGTGTGTGTGTGTGTGTGAGTGTGTGTGTGTGTGTATGTGTGTGTGTATGTGTGTGTGTGTGC